GTGCGCTTGTGACAACGGAGAAGGCACGATTTAGCGATATAGCCCGAATTGTGACATTGAATGCTGCCCAGGGTCCAACACCTCAGGTGGTTTGGACTTCAGTTTTCTCCCACTAATGGACCGCCTACGAGGTTGCATTCACGCCTGATTCAATCAGAGGGTGACCGCTTACCGACGAGGAGATGCGACCCGTCGCCAACGGCTGTCAGTTGAACGCAGAAGAGCTCCGGCCCATAAGGACAGAGCCGTGGACCGACGACGGGGGATTCATTTGCAAGAACTTCTACTCTGTGCGAGGCAGGTTTGGTGGTTTTGTCTCTATTGTGAGACGAAGGTTCTGTATCAATGCAATGTTCAGAAGAACTATCTGCGGGATCCGGCAACCAAGCTCTAGATGATGCATGGGCAACCTTGGGGCTGACCGCCGATATTATAGATTGTCCGAGAAGGGAAACCGAATCGTGCATGATCACCGAAAATGAACAAGGGCTCCATTGACGAGTTGGATAGTTTGAAAAATCACCGAACAACATCAGCGAACATGGGTTGAGAAGAGAGATGGAGCTCGTCTTAGCTTCGCTAAGGGAGGTCGTACCTTTTCCAACCAACAGCTAGGAACCGTTCCAACCTGAGTCCCTGATAGCGCTGCGGCTCAGCCGCCAGCGCGTCACGAACCCTTCTTTCAGTTTCTCGAGCCTCTGATGTTTCGTTTCATGCGTTGGCTTGTGCACGATGCAAATTTGGAGAACAAAGACCCTCCAACTGCGGCGACATGGTTGCCATTATTATGGCCCTCCGACGTTGATCAGTATGCTCGTCCATTTCGATGCCCCGCTCTTTCCGTTTTTGATTGGACCAACGTAAATAGTAAACAACTAGAACCGCCTGAAGGATGGGATCAGTGGGCGAAGAGTCGGCGAGAGATGGGCGCATAAGTTCCAGCGGTATATACGCTCACCGAAAGACTAAGACGCATCGATTCGCCTATCCCGACTACCGTTGGATATATTATTTTTCAAGCAATTGCATCGCTTGGCATCTGGCCCACCCGGCAGACAGGTGTGCTTCTGGCCCTTGACAAGCTAGCAGAAACACCAAGGGGAATTCTACCCGAGGCACTGTGCCAACACGTCTCAAACTGGAGAACACTGGATTGCCATTGCCCTTTTGGCTTGATGCTAGATCTAGTTCCCCTTGGGGGGCGTTTGTCTGTAGCGATGCGGGATCCGTTGTGCAACCCAGTGAAGAATGCGAGTACGGACCTACAGTTTGAGCGAGGCGATGGAAAGGCGAATGTCGTTACCAATCGACGTGACGCCATTCACGTTGCCTTTCAATTTTTCCTTGAGTGCTTGACCGCACCAGGCGATGCGATGCGACTGGAGAAGGATGCGGTTCACGATGCGCTGCCAGGACTGACCGAACTCATTGACAGAGTATGGGATGAGACCACCTATGGAGTGCCCTCGCGTCGGCGACGGGGGCGAATCCTGTTGGCTGTTCGTGAAGTGGTACTCTTGTTCATGGCAGAAGGACCTTATGTTGCTTTTCTGGGCCGCGAAGTACAGCGACCTACGATCGCTGGAGGTATTGCCCTCAGTTTAACTCTGACCGACGCCTCTGCGCTGGACAGCCGTATCTGGCCGACGATCAAATCGTCAGACTTGCCGGAGACGTGGGCCGAAGGTTTAGGTAACGAAGTTCGTGGTGCCGTCCGACGTTGCTGTGTTGACGTCCAATCTGCCATAGAGTTCATGGACACATCTCCTGAAATCGTCCCCGAGAGCTCGACTGGCTATCGGCCGTTATGGACATTTTGCTACGGAAACAGCCATCGGACTCACTCGATATGTATGGAACCTCACTGAGGAGGTCGGCCCAGCCGAACCTTCCCTGGCGTCTCCTGACGACTCAGTCGCATCGGAAGCTGCTGTCCAGCACTGTGAGGGTCCAATGGCCCCGCGCACGGGTGCTAGCGCTCCTGCTGGCTCTGCCGCTTCGGAGTTGAAAAGCACGCGGGATCCCCAAACACCTCCGAAGCGTCCTATGGATGCCGCTGAGGGGTTTCGGACTGGTCGGAATGAGAGGCGCGCCTTTAGAACGGCCGGCTCAGCCGCGTCGGGCAGCGACCCCGATCGGGATCAGAGGTCGCATAGAGCTCCTACCGAATGGAGCGAACGGGATCGGCCGCTTGCGTGGGCTGATGAGCCTGTAGATGATGTAGGCGGCCGCGGGCGCGATGGCGGCTGGGGCCCGTCGCTGGATCTTGCCGATAAGGACAACAACGGCAACGTCAAGGGATATTGGGTCCATGTGGGTCGCCATCGGCAGATAACGAAGAGCGAAAAGATTGGGTTTTGGTTCAACGTGGACGAGTACAACACAGAATTCGTGGGATACCATGAAGATGCATCGTGGGGAGACGAACGGCCCCCCCGTCGACATGCTTGGGTCCGAACTGGAGAAACGCTGAGCACTGCTTCTGCATCCTTGCCCGCACCGCCACCGCCGCCGACGCCTACGGCGAGGCCGGTTGACAAGGGCAAGAGCAAGGGCAAGTACAGCAGCTGGAGCGGTGGAAAAGGCAAGGACCCTTATGACCACCGTCAGCGAGATCAGTCTCAGTGGAGCTGGCTGACCGGCTATGATTGAAATCATCCTCAGCGCCGAGAAGAAGATTGGCGGGGATGTTTTTCTGCAGCAGGACTGATACGACTTTGTCGGCATCGGTCCCACGTCTCTTGGCTTCGCCAGCGTGAGGTGGGTGGGGTGCGTTAGGACTGGAAGATTTTCGTGGTGTGTGCTGGCTTTAGATATTTGCTCTTGTGGGGTTCGTCGGGTTGTTTCGGTCCCTTGCCCCTCGGCAACCGCGGTCGAGCCGTAAAATTGTTTTTGGGGTTGGCTCCAGTGGCTGTACATATGTGCAGGCCGAGTGGGTGGGGGGTCGGAGCAACTCTACACGCCCCGCCGCGGGGGGAGTCAATGCACTCCTCCCCGCGCCACCGTCCTGCCGCCGATACCTGCGCTTCTTTGCTCTGACATGTACTGTACCTTTCCGTAGCTATACTTGGCTTAGAAGGTCAGCAGAGGAGCGTGCCCGCTTTCGCTCGCGTCGGCCGGCGGGCCGGCCTCCTCACCTCAGGGGTACTTCTAAAGTTAGCTCAACGGAACATTCCTTCCTTGCCTTGGCTTCGGTGGAGCCCCCTGATCATGAGACAGTATTGGGACATAATGCAGGGATTTTCGATGTCCAAGCAAACAGCTCAAACCGTTGCCGACTCGCCTGTGAGATCTGCTGAGGCGTCGCACTGTCGCCACCATGTTCGAACAAAGGACGTACCATGGTCGCTCCCGCACCCTGTTGCGACGTCCGCGCCCATGATGCTGACCCCGCTGCTGCGTCACTTCATTGGAGACAACATAGCTCGTATAGTGCCTCTCTTGATTGATCTGCCCTGGCATGCTTCTGCATATTTGTTTCAATATGCGCCCATTGCTGCTGCTTGTCTTTCCCCTCTTCCATCAGTGTCACTACCGGTCGCTACCGCTGTTTCATTACCCTTTTTTGGTCGCGATGATGCTGTTTGAACAAAGTCATGCTTTGACTCCGATCTTGCCTGCCCTCGTGAATTGTGCATCCTCGAGCTCTCATTTCAGCTTTGGCGTCCCTGCTGGACGCCTGCTTCCTCACAGGGTGGTCCCGCTCACTGTTGATGCATCTGGCACGTAACGGGGGACTGGGGACTAGGCCCCAGGGCGCCCAGGCCGGTGCACCGACCGCAGCGCGGACAGCCCTGGCTTCTGGGCTGAAGCCCCGACGGCTCAAGATCGCACCCAGACGACCCAGGATGCCCGGAAGGCGGCCCGAGTGGGTCTACACGCCGCCCAACAAGGTTCCGAGGCTGTCCTATACGCTGCAAGAGTTGGTCCAGGATCGCCACTACGAACCCCCTGAGAAGGCTAGTCTTGCAAGATTTTAGCGTTGCCGTCTTTACGGCTTGAGCGTCCAATACGACCCGTTATGCCCCCAATGTCTTTGCCAGACGGCTCCAGATCCTCGCCGCGAGGGCCCCCGGCAAGTTTTTTAAACTGCCCAAGAGATGCCCGAAGATGCCCCAGAGGCCCTCTGGATGGCCCCAGGGGGCGCCAAGAGGGCCCCATCAGGGTCCTCCAAGACGGCCTCGGTGGGTATCAAACGTTTCCAAAGGGCCCCCAAATATTCCAAGAGGGCCCCAAGGAAGCCCAATAGAGACCCAGGCCCTCAAGAAGAGTCAACGAGCGCCAAAACATCCCCAAGAAGGCCCAAGCAGGCTCTCATAACTCAACCAGTAGAGGGAGTCTTCCATTGGTCATCGGCTGCACGTCTTTGCTCCTTCCAACGGCAGAGGGGTGGCCGTGACTCGCCGTAGGCGTTTTCGATACTCATCTTTGTATCTTCCTTCCCCTCCTCACTCCTCTCTCGGTATCCTTCTTCATTTTCTTTCACCCGCATTCGCACACCACCTGTTCCTGCATTTTCATCCTAAACAGAAGCGAAACAGAGAATACGCTTCTGATAGTAGCATGACGCCTCCTCAAGGATAACATGCACACGTCGGGAAACGCGTGTAAGTATTTCGGTTTATGATGAACACGAGTTCGTGCTCTGAGGCATCCATGGCTGCGTAACCAGTAATGGGATGTCAACCGTTTCGGCGAAACTAGCCCCATGGCGTCCGCTTGCAGAGGCCTCTGGATGATTCTGAGACGCTCTCTGCCCTGACGTCCAGTCCAGCTAGAACCGGAGCGCGCGAAGTGCTCGATCGTTCCTGTCTATTGATATGAATGTCCACAGTCGGAGCCTTGAAGCGGCCCGTTGGTACATTCCGACGCGTCCAACAATTCTTCCAAGGAATTTGGCATTTTCAAGATTGCTCTCGCTGTTCGACTGTTGCCAGCTCGCTCATCGCTGCATTTCAAGCTGCTATGCTTCAAAGACAGCGGGAACGCGCGCTGCGCAGGACGACTGCTGGACCTCGATGCTCGTGCCAGCTCCGCCGTGCCGCTTGGCGCCGTGGCAGTTGGCAAGCCGAAACACCAGCAGCAGTCCCCTTGTGTCTCCGCCTCATGCTCTTTCTCGTCTTGAGAATGACAATTTGAACATCATCATCCTACTGCGAGCATCCAGCCATTTGTCTTTGAGCGTTATCGGCGCCAATATTCATCCTGGCTTTGGAGTCGGCGATTCGTTCAGACATCCAGGGATTGTTGGGGGGAGCCTCTTTCTTCGTTCACCCTTGGGAGCCAGCTGTCCACCACCACTTGAACCAGCCCTGCGCAGATTTCCTCTTGTGGAAAGGACGATATGGTTTGTCCAGTGGCACGAGGGGACGGTCTAGTCAAGCTGCAGGGGTGAAGGAGCTGAGCTGACCTGAGCCTCAAGAGGGCAAGGAAGACCCATCATCTTTTCCTTTTTGTCAGTGGAAGGTGTCCTGGAAGCGAGGCCTTGCTGTCCAGAGTTAGCAAACATGGAATCGCCCCCTTGCTCGGTGCTTCTGTCTGCCCCCCCTTTGCAGCTCGGCGCTTGGCCTCGTCCTTCCTCCCGGCGAGAGTCGTGCAGGTTTCGTTCTATGTCTGCCGGCTGGACCAGCAGGAGAGCCACCCGGGGACTCTGCAGGGCAAGGCTCGCTTCGACATGGAGGCACCAGGGTGGCAAAGATGGGGCTCAGCCTCTAGGAGAGTAGATCGGCTGCTGCGCTGCTGCTGCTTCTGCGCTGGGCAGGCATAGCTTCAGAAGGCTTGTTGGCAGTGCGGCTTGCGTTTCATGCTGACGCGTGAAGTCATTCATACCACCATCCATGAAGCAATTCAGATTTTCACCTGGCGCATTTAGGTGATCTTCCGCACATCGGGTAACTTTCCTTAGGATATAGTGCGGCAGCCCTGTCTGTATTCTCCAGCTTTCCATCTACAAGACCTGTCTGGTTCCCTCAGGATCGTTACTTCTCCATTGCTACCCTTCGGGTTCGTTTCGCTTTCTCTTCGCATTTAATTTCATGTCGGATTGTGTTGTTATCTGCATGCGATTCCTCAGGGCCTCCAGGACTCTTTATGGTCATGTGTCTCGGTGTTGTATTGCTTTATTTCGTTTTCGTTCTGCACAACATCCGTTAGGCTTATGTATACTTGCCACTTCGAGTTGTTGTTGTTGTTGTTGTTGTTGACTTCCTTACATGTTGCGAAGAGATGCGCTGATGTTCGTCAGAACCCGTCTGATTATTCACGGTGCCTTTTTTCTTCACCGGTCTTTTTGAACAGTGCAGCAATGTTCTTCCATTTGGTCGCTCGTTGGTGTTCGATCTCTCATGATGCGCCTGGGCGCTTACAACTTTCTGTCGGGTTCCGTTTGTCCACGTGCTGGTCTTTACCTTACTATATCCGTGTAGCTTATCACTCTTGTTTTTTCCTTAGGTCTCCTTTGAGTTTCCGCGGGGTTCCTGCTCTTGCCCTCCGATGCAGCGTTATACCTGCATACGCATAGCAGAGAGTGGTTTCCCGACCTGGTCTCGGCGGGCACGTGTGGGCACGCTCGAGCCCCCCCCGTTCTTTTATCCGTTGCTGTGGAGCTCTGGTTGTGTGTACGTATATATCGAAATCTGTGTTATGTGTATGTATGTATATACATACATTTGAATGTATGTATGTGTACATTTATAGGTGTATCTATAGGTATATGTATAGTAGTGATTATGAACATATATGTATATCTAAAAGTGCTCGGTTTTCCCTGGGTCAGCCTGTAGTTCAGTGCGGTTGCGCAAACCAGCGGATGTTTCGGGTTGAGTGCCAATCGTTCCGAGTTCCGTTTAGAGCGAGTTCAGATTCATGATTGTTGAATCGTGCTCCGCCCGTAGTCCATCGTTGCTCACAAGAGTTGAAGACGGTAGTGGAGCTGGGTTAGCTCCAGCTTCCCGTCTCGCACACCCGCAATTTCGGCCCAGGCGCGCGCGATATCCCGCCAGGCTGCGGGGCAAGAGAAACTACGACGTACACCGAGGGCTTCGAGCTCGTCGGCAGGCAGTGCACTGAACCTGCCTCTGCCTTGGCCGGGCTGCCCCGCCTGGCCGCAGTGCCGGAGGGCTGATCGTCGGGCCTCTTGGCCTCCCTCCTGTCGGCGCGGCCGGCGCTGGCCTGACGATCCTCCTCCGGCTGCGGCGTGCACGAGCGGCTGCGCCATCCCACCGTTCGGTCTGCAGCGTGGACCGCGCAGAGGGAGAAGCCGTCCTTCTCGACAGTCTTCTCGCGGTGGCAGTGAGAACGTGCGCATCTCCTCGGGGCAGCCTGACTCTCGTAGATGCCCGCGTGGTGCGGGCAAGCCCTGAACGTGTGGGTGCCTCCCTCCTCCTGGGCCTCACGCACATCCGAGATCGCCGCATCCTCGACCAGCATGTAGACGGGGTCCTGCCGCGCGGTGTCCCGACAGCACTTGGCGCTCAGGACCTGCGTGTCCCCCGTGGTCGTGCACGCGATCTGGTCGGCCTGGCAGACGTCGACGCTGGGCTCCGACTCGGTCTCCCAGTTGGGGTCCATCTCCTCAATCTTGCCTGGCTTCTGCCCGGGTTTCGGGTGCCTCCAGCGTCTCTTCGCGCAACGGCCGAACGCCTTGCAGCGCGCTCGTCCCGCCCCTCGGCGCCCCCAGGCGCAGCACATTCGGCCCCCTGCCCTCGCCCGTTCCGCTGGGGTGAGCTTGGCCAGGTCTGACGCGTTGACTCGCGAGCTGTGGTTCACCACGCGCGAGGAGCTGACGTGCATCATCGGCGGGTCGCCCTCGGGGAGGGTGCAAGGTGAAGCCGCGCACAGGTGGATTTGGCCGATGCCCTCGCCATCCCTAGTAGCCTCCAGGTCGGTCTTCAAGTGGCGGTTAGAGCTGCCCTCGTCCACCGCCTTTGCCTCGCTGGGCCCATGCCATGCAAGAGCGGCCGTGGGGTCGCCGACCAGAGCTACCATGACGTCGTGCCGCGTCTTGCTGCCACCCGCGAACCCCTTCAGCGTCCCGACGAGGACCGAGGTTTACGCCCACGCCGTGCGCACGAACCAAGCCAGGAAACCCAGCGCCGACCCGAGCACCGTAGCCACCACCATGGCCACGAGTCCCATGGCTGCCCACTGTAATCTAGCCCAGAATGCGCCGAAGAGGTACTGGCCCATCGCATCGACCAAGCCTATGAGGAAGGTGATCAGCTGATGCAACAGCGCGCCCAGGGCGTGGCCTTGCTGGCCTTGCTTCTCGCCGAGCCACTTCAGCGCCATCTCAGCCCACGCGTTGACCCGAGCCATCCCACTGGGCGATGCTGATGCGGCAGTGCCCCGCGCCTCCGGCCAGGGGTGCTCCACTCGTCTCCGCGGCGCTGGCGTCGGAGACGGGCGGCAGGGGCGCGGGTGCCGCCTCTGGGCTGGCCTCCTCGCGCGGCTTCGCCTCCACCTGCGGGGCAGCGGCGTCGTAGTAGTAGCCGTAGTAGTCGTGTTCACTGGAGCGCTGACCGCTATGGGCAGAGCGCCCGCCCAGACCAGCCATGGCTGGCGGCGGGTCCGTGGCCAGGGGCTCGGCAGGTGCGGGGAGCGCCGCAGGTAGAGGTGGCCCCTCGGGCGCCACGACCGCTGGCAGCTCGTCTCCGCCCGCGTCTGAGCAGCTGGCCTTGCCCTGGTTGTCGGGCTGGTCCGGCCGCTCCTCCTCTTCTTCATCGCCTGGCCCTGCACGCTTATGACCTCCTTCTTCAGGTCCGGTCATGGTGGCGGACGCATGGACCGTGGCGTACCAGTTGACCCCAAACGAGACGTCGAGCCATGTCGCCAATGCACCCATGGCCAGAGCCAGGGTGCACTCCAGGCCGTGAACAGGCCTCAACCTCCTCGCTGAGCCTCCTGAAGCCTCCCGCGCTGCTCTGCTGCTCGTCACCGCGGCGCCACGCTGGAGGCCTCCTGGTGCTTCGCCGCCGCGGCGCCGAGCAGAGCCCGCTCAGGCCCTGGCCGCCACCCCCACGCCTCGTGAGAGGTGGCGCGGGGGGTCTCGGGAATGGACCCGAGCCAGGCGGCCCGGAGGGGAGCGGGCTCGTGCTATGGCCTCGCCCGCCCACCTCCAACAATGCTGCAGAGGCCGCAAGCGGCCCTGAGCCAAAGGCAAGGGGAGGGAGGCTACGCGTAGCGAGGAAACCCGCTGTTCTCTCGAACGGCTACGAGGAGGAGGAGGAGGAGGAGGAGGAGGAGGAGGAGGAGGAGGAGGAGGAGGAGGAGGAGGAGGAGGAGGAGGAGGAGGAGGAGGGGGAGGAGAGGAGGAGGAGGAGGAGGAGGAGGAGGAGGAGGAGGAGGCGGAGGCGGAGGCGGAGGAGGAGGAGGAGGAGGAGGAGAAAGAGGCGGAGGAGGAAGATAAGGAGGAGGAGGAGGAGGAGGAGGATGAGGAGGAGGAGGGGGAGGAGGAGGAGGAGGAGGAGGAGGAGGAGGAAGAGGAGGAGGCAAACCGCCTCTTGGGACCCTCGTGGAACGCTCTTGGGGTGCTCTTGGGGCCGTCTTGCAGCCCTCTGGGGGCCCTCTGGGGAGCCTTGGAGGGCCTCTTGAGGCCATCTCAGAGGCTATCAATCAGGGGGGGGTCCTCGATTAGCCCCACTCCCCTGAGGCTATCAAAATCGCGTCTTGGGACGCTCTTGGGCCGATATCGGGAGCTCTTGGGGCCTCTTGGGCCCCTCTTGGTGCTCTGTTGGACCATCTTGGGGCAATCTTGCGGCCCCCAAAGCGCGTCGAAAGCGAAACGGCCCAAAGGCGCAAATCAATGATCCCTTCAGGGTTTTGAAGGATTGTTGCCTCTGGGGGGGTCCTGAGGGGGGCTCCGAGAACACTTGGAACCGGCCTGGAGAGTTTTTTTGGGCCTCCTGGAGCATGCTGGAAGCCATATTGAACTTACTTTGGCTATTTTGGGCCATCTTGGGGCCATCTTGGAGCATCGGAGGCCCTGTTGCAGCCATCTTGGGCCATCTTGGGTGCTCCAACCCTTCCGCCCCACCCCGTCTAGACCCCTGGGAAGGGGGTGGGGGCGCCCTTCCCCGAAGGGACGATGGGCTTGGGAGAGGAGAAGAAGAACTCGTTAGACCACCTATGCCCAAACGGCCGGTGGGATTCCTGGTGTTTCACCGCCGCGAATCAATCTGATTCTTGCGCCCTGACAAGTCTAAACTGTACCAGACAACAATTCCTGGGACTTCAATACCGCGAATCAGCGAATTCGTTACGTCCTGACAGTCCTGAATTGTACCAAAACGCAGTTCCTGGGATTCCGCCATGAGAATTCTTGAGCCTGCTGCGCAATTTTATCACACGCGTGCGCGGCGCTGAGGCGAGAGCCGCATTTTGAAAAGGAACCGCCCTCCATCAGTGAAGCTGTTGCAAGCTGTGAAGACGATCGTGCGCGGCCCCAAGGCGAAACCACCTTTTTCACAACGACTCACCCTCCATCCGCGCAGCTGCTGCATTCTTTAAAGACGAATGTTGGCAGCGCCACGGCGGGAACCGCATCTTGAAAAGGAACCGTTTTCCATCCGCGAAGCTGTTGCAAACTTCGAAGACGGAGACGAATGTGCGCGGCGTTGCGGCGATAAACACATTTTGAAGACGACGCTCCCTCCATCTGTGGAGCTGCTGCAAACACTGCAG